TGCCTGTATTACATTCTCCCTTGCATTATACTGTATTTATCTGTGTAAAAGTTACAAGCACTCTTCCCTTCCTCATGAGATTTAAGCTCCTGAAGGGCAGGGAAACTGTGTGTTCAGCTTTGTATTCCCAGCACTTATTATGGCCCGTTGCACAAAGCAGATAACACTTAATAAATGTTAACCCCATTGCTTATTTGAATATAAACCTCTCTGAGGTCTTGAAAGTTTATTTCATTTTTGTTTTTGTATACTTAGCACCTAACACAATGCCCCAAACATAGTAGGCACTTAGGTGCTGTTCAATGAATGATGAATGAAATTCAAATTCAGAAATTATTGTTAAGCATCTATTATGTGAAAAACACAGTGCTAAGTGCTGACTATAAGAAGACAAAAGACTGTCTCTTGCCTTCAATAGTTTATACTCTACTAGTGAGATACAACATGTATGTTGTTGTTCAGTGGTTTTAGTTGTGTCTGACTCTTCCTGACCTTATTTGGGGTTTTCTTGGCAAAGGCACTGGAAAAGTTTGCGCTTTCCTTCTCCAGCTCATTTTACAGATGAGGAAACTCAGACAAATAGGGTTAGGTGACTTGCCTGAGGTCCTGTAGTAGGAAGTATCTGAGGTCAGATTTAGCTCAGAAAGATTAGTCTTTGTGACTCCAGGCCTGTGTACTGTGCCACCTAGCTGCCCCACAACATGAATACACACACACACACACACACACACACATATGTATACATATGTGTGTATATATGTATGTATGGGTATGTATATATATATGAGTGTATGTGTATGCATGTGTGTATATGTGTGTATACATATGTGTGTGTGTGTGTGTAGATATATATGTAGATAGGTAGATAGATAGATAGATAGATAGATAGATAGATAGATAGATAGATAGATAGATAGATATGAAGTGATTTAAAGAGGAAAGGAATACTAGCAACTGGAGGGATCAAGAAAGACTTGATGAAGGTGGCAACTGAACTATGCTTTGAAGGATGCCAGGAGTTCTAAGAGACAGAGGTGAAGAGGAAATGCAAACGTGGGAGGAAGACAGTCCCTGGACAAACCTATGGAAATGAGAGATGAAATTTGGTATACAGAGAACAGCCAGTAGGCCAGTTCGACAGAAATGGAGTTTGGGTGAGGAGAAATGTGAAAAGGGACTGAAAAAGTGGATAAGAACCCAATTGTGGAAGGCTTTTATATCTTATCGGATGAGAATTTTGTATTTTATCCTAGAAGCATAACAGGCTATGACCTTAAAAGAAGGTAATAGATGGACAACCTGAGTGCCGCATTGGTACACTAGAGATATTCAGAAAATCAGAAGAAATCCTCCAGCATGTTGGGTAAATCTTGTATGGAAGACTGATTGAAAGTCATGGGCAAGAGTCCCCTGGCATGAGAAGGCATTGCAGTACTGTCCTCTGCATTGTTGGAGGTAGCATGGTGTGGTAAATGGAGCAGTGCCCCACTTGTCTGGAGTTAGAAAGCCCTGGGTTTAAATCTCACCCTATACACTTCCTAGCTGTCTGACTATGAGCAAGCCTAGGTGACAGCTTCCAGATATGCAAATGACATAAGGAGTTTGGAATCAATGACCAGTATAAGGACTACCCATACTTGTGTAATTACAAATCTAGCAAGGTATCATTTGGTTATTCAAGTTCCCCAGAGCTTATCCTTTTCAGTCAGACAGAATTTGGGGATGGTAAATTATTTCTTCTTTTTAGTGATTGTTTAATTTGCCAACTGGTCCATAAATCCCTTTATTTTATTCTTGCCTTCCAGAGTTATTGTGAGGAAATCTTGTTGCCAGTCTTAAAGTATTATATAAATGTAATCTATTACCGTTACCATTATTACTAAGTTCCTCCTATATTCTGGTGTGCACTCCCTCTTTTGGTTTGTTAGCAAGAAATGGTGGTGGTTATGGTTTCTAATGCTTTGACATTTCCTTCATAGTCTCCAGTACAAAAAGGAGTACGATGCATTAAGTCATTCTGAAATGTTTCTGTGTAGCCGGCCAGTTCTAGAGCCAAATGTACTGTCTCCCAGGAGGCCTTCTTTGCATATTTCTTCCCAGATGGAGTTTATACATTAATGGTTTTAATTAGCTCTCTTCTCCAAGCAAGCAAACTTCAGCTGGAATAGTCACATTCAACAGACATTTCATTTCTACTTTAAAGTGTTTCACTGAAAGGCAGTTGTTTGTTTGTTTTCTTAATGGGAATTTTGCTGAATTGTTTTTGGTTCATGACCCTTCTTGGTAAAGGTAGTGGAGTGGTTTGCCATTTCCTTCTCCAGCTCATTTTACAGATGGGGTAAGTGATTTGCCCAGGGGCATGGAGCTAGTAAATGTCTGAGACCAGATTTGAACCTACAAAGTCTGCCTACTAGGCCCTGCACTCTATCCACTGTGCTAGCTAGCCACGTATTCCCTTCCATGAGATTTAAGCTCCTTGAAGGTAGGGAACCTGTCATGTTCAGCTTTTTATTCGCAGTACTTAGCATAGCTCCTTGCACAAAGCTTAGTATGTTACTATTTAATATGTTAAACATTTAATGTGTTAATATTTTAGGTTAATATGTTAATTTCCTATTTTAAAAATATGTTAAAATCATAAGAGCTTCAGTTATCTATAGCCTCATCTATAAACTGAGGTACCTATTGGATCAGGAAAAATTGTTTCTCCAAATGGTTGGTCCCATTTGATTAGCCAAAGTTAGAGGCAGATTTTAGCCCACATTCTAATGATGAAGAGCAGGAGTTCTTAACCTGTGATTAATGGAACCCTAAGGAGTCTGTGGATAGATTTCAGTGTGTCAGTGAATTTGAATGGAAAAAAAAAATTACCTCTTTATTTTTGCTAACCTATGATTTCCTTTATAATACTATGTATGCTATTTTATGCATTTAAAACATTATTCTGAGAAGTCTATACATTTTACCAGGCTACCAGAAGGGCCAATGACAAAAAAATAAAAAAGGTTAACATCCCCTGATATAGAGAATTTCAATGGTAGAAGAGAATAACTTGAAAGGGGTAATACACTTGTCATTATTTGAAACATTCAAAAAAAGAGAGTAAATGAACTTTGTGGAATAGTGAAGCCAATGCTAGATTTGAAATCAAAAGAGATCTGAGTTCAAATCATAACTATGAAACTTCTTAGTTATGTGACTCAAGAGAGATTAAATAATCTTTCTGAATCTCATCTGTAAAATAAGGACAATAATTCTTATCTGTAGAAAGGTGAATTCTTTTTCATCATTATTGAAGCTGTTAGGAAGGAGTCTTCATTAAGTGAGAGAACGAACTAGATATAATTTGATGGTTATCTTCAACACTAAAATTCTATGATTAATGTGTATCCTTAGGGAAATAGTCCAGAAGCAGTATGTAGGATGGATTCAAGGAAGGAGAGACTAAAAGAAGAGAAATTAGTTGAGAGTTGTAAAATATTTGACTTAACAAAAATTGTGTAACAGAAAAATTAATGCTAAATCAACCTCTGAATCTTTAGGATTTCCATCTAAACTTAATTCACCTAACAATATTAAGCTAGTTTTTGAAATTGAACTCTCTCTCTCTCTCTCTCTCTCTCTCTCTCTCTCTCTCTCTCTCTCTCTCTCTCTATATATATATATATATATATATATATATATATATATATGTATGTGTGTGTGTGTGTGTTGTGTGTGTATTACACATATATGTATATGTCATGAGCATATGCCTCTCTTAAAGCACTGAGTTTCTCAGATTTTCTTGTTTTATGGTATTCTGCCAATCTCAATAAATAACCAAGAGATATACCGAGATACGAGAAGATGGCATGCTAAGGGGAGATACATACATCTTTAGAAATGTGTATTTTTTATATGAGGACGCTGCTGTGCCTCTTTCCTGACTTCCATAGTACATTTCCAATGGTCTACTAGATACCACCTTGTCTTGCCATTGGTCCTTCTAATTCAACATCTCTAAGACTGACCTTGTGATCTACATTCCTCCCCTCAAAATAAAAAACAAAACTTGCTCCTTCTGAATTCTTCCTTATATTGGTCAGGGGTACCATCATTCACCTATGTTGGAAATCTTGATGTTTCATCTGTCTGTCTGTCTATCTATCTATCTATGTCTATCATGGTTTTGTTTTTTCCCAATGGAGCATTTCATTTGTATGTATAGCCTTAAAAACAAAAACCACGATTTTTCTTCCTGCGCATTTTCATCTTGCTTTCTCAAGGTCCATGATGCCAGCTAAGGTTGCAAGCCCACTGAACCTAAACTGAAAAGACAGTAGCAGATCATTCTGCCATTCTTTCAGGTCCTTCAGTTAAACAACAGTTTAGAGCTTCTTGCACCATGACAGCTTAATCAGCCCACTAGGCTGAACAATGATTTGTCCTGTCCTGTGATTATCAATAATTTTATGTCTACCATGTTTTATCATCACAGTTAGAAACAAGACAATGACTTTAGAGGAATGGTTCTTAACTTTTTTTGTGTGTCCTGGACCCCTAGGCACTAAGGTGAAATCTGTGGACCCCTTTTTAAAATGATGTTTTTAAATGCATAAAATAAAGTACATAGCATTACAAAGAAAATCAATTCTACCGAAATATAGTTATCAAAATATAAAAAAACCCAAGTTAATGGACCCCAATTTAAGAACCTCTGATCTAGAGCAACCTTCTCATTTTTCAGATAAGAAAACCAAATATGGCCAAAGAGGTTAAGTGACTTGACTAAAGTAAGTGGAAGAACAAGCATTCGAACCCAAATCCTCGGGGTCAGATCCAGCTCTCTTTCTACTTTGTACTTTTACATATATAATTTCCCCTCACTCTATCGTAAAGTCCATAAGAGCAGAGACAGGGTTTTATTGATGTTTGTATTTTCCCAAGTGTACCGTCTATGGGAGGCACTTAATAAACAGTTATTGAATTTAATCGGTTCATCTCTCTTATCTCCCTAGGCTATGTTGACATTGGGCTTATTCCAAAAGGAGCAAGAGACATTCGAGTCATAGAGGTTGAAGAAGCTGGAAACTTCCTGGCTGTCAGAAGTGAAGACCCAGAAAAGTATTACCTAAATGGGGGATTTATTATCCAGTGGAATGGAGACTACAAGCTGGCAGGGACAGTCTTCCAGTATGACAGGAAAGGTGACCTGGAAAATCTGAGGGCAGCTGGCCCTACCAATGAATCTGTGTGGATACAGGTAATATACAATATCAAGAGGAAGGGCTGGACTTTAAATGAGGTGGCACTTTTCAGATGTACTTTTCAGAACAATGGGATGTGGGAGGATTGCTCACTAAACCAAGATATTTAACTGCATAAACATATGACCCAAATACTCACCAAAACCAAATACCATAAAAAAAAAATTCAAGGTCACTAAATTTATTTTGTTCCATGATTGACTCTTTTTTTGGAAGGCCTGATATATTTATTTTACATCTTTAATAGTTTCTATGATTTCTGTCTTTGCACGTGAATATTAAGTCATGAGGAGCCAACCTGATGTAGTTGATAGGGGACTGGTCCCTGTGTCAGGTAATCCTGAATTTGAATCCCTTTTTGACACATACTGGTATGTTTCTGAGCAAATAATTTAACCTCTCAGTGCCCTAGGTATCACTCTAAGACTTCAAGCTGCAGAGCATTCACCTACCAACCTACCTTGGTAGAGGGAAGTCCTTACTGGAATCTTCTAAAACTAATAAAATAACAGATGCAATTTAAAAAATAAATTATCATGACTCAGCTTGAGGTCACTCTTTCTCTTGCTTTTCAGCTCCTATTCCAAGTGACTAACCCTGGCATAAAGTATGAGTACACAATACGGAAAGATAGCAGCACTGAAAATGATGTGGAGAAGCCAGAGTATTTTTGGCAATATGGCAGCTGGACAGACTGCAGTGCAACATGTGGGTCAGGTAAGCATTGGCTCATCTGCCATTTGGTTGGAGCCTTGGAGGGGCTGCCTTGTGGAGTAAGAATTAAGGTTGTCCTCCTTAGCTCCTGAGAGCAGAACTAGCACCAATAGGGGTAGTTTCAGAGAGGCAAAATTTAGCTCAATAGATAGAAAAATCTCCTAATAGGCAGCTAGGTGGGAATAGCGGGTAGTGTGCCAGGCCTCAAGTCAAGAAGAATCATCCTCCTGAGTTCAAATCTGGCCTCAAATACTTGCTAGCTATGTGACCCTGGGCAGGTCACTTAACCTAGCCTCAGTTTTTTCATCTGTAAAATGAGCTGCAGAAGGAAATGGCAAACCACTCTAGTATCTTTGCCAAGAAAACCCCAAATGGGATGACAAAGAGTTGGACATTACTGAAGTTATTGAACTACAATAACAACAAAATTTAAGATGAAATGGATGGCCTTTCTCAGGGTGGCGTTGTGGAAACAGAGGCAGATGTGGAGATAAGAGAGGAGTCTTGCCTCTGACACTCACCACATGTGTGACCCTCGTCAAGACATTCGATTTCTGTGCATCTCAGTTTCCTCTTCTGAAGAATAGAGATAATAACTAAAGAGCCTGCCTCATGAAGGTGTTGTGTCCATTTCAAGACATGTGGGAAGTTAGGTGATATTTTGCAAGTGCTAAGCCCTGAAAGCTAATTTATGATCTGGCTGGCTGGGTGTATGGTCCTGTTCTACAGGTACACTGTCACCTACACTACCTCAGACTGTGTTGTGTTTCTCCATGAAAAAGTATAGTACACTGACCTCACATCTCAATTTTCTTTCCTCTTTGATCTGTCACTGCTCATGTCTTGCCAGACTTAGCCCGGGGATACCCACAACATCTGCATTCTGCCAACTTTGACTTTAGTGCTGCTGGAGGTCACATGATTATACCAACTGGCACTATTACAGATTTCTGTTAACTGATCTCTATGGGCCTTAACAGCTTTCTTTTCTTTCTTCTTTAACGGGTTCTCTGTCACAATGCCCCGGAGTCTATTCTAAGCCTTCTCTTTGCTCCACAAGCCTCCAACACCACCCGTCAGAGGATCTTATCTCCTCCGTTAATTATAAATTTGAAAGCATCTGAGTTCCCTGCTACACCTCAAAACCCCTCCCACCTCATTCATGCATCATTTTCTCCTCCTTCATTAATGTCTCTCGAGAAGAGGTGGCCCTTCTTAAGGTCAACCTGTACTTGTGTCCTTGATCCCATTCCCTCCTGTCTTCTGGCAACTTGCCTCTTCAATCAGTCTCTGGTACCCTTTCTCTAAACTTCAGTTTCTCTCCATTTCCTGGCTTCTTCCTTGTTGCCTACTGTCTAGACCTTTCTCATCCTTCCAAAACTTCCCTTGACCCTGCCATTCCTTCAAGTTGTCATCTTATATGTTTGTCACCTTTCCCAGCCAGACTTCTAGGAAATTTTGTCTGCTTCCTTGCTTTCGTTTCCTCTCCTCTCATTTACTTCTCATCCCTTTGAAATCTGACTTCAAACACCATGGCTAAACCGAAGCTACTCCCTCCCAAGTTGCCTCTTAATGGCTAAATCTGATAACCTGAACTTTGTCCTCATCCTCCAGATCTCCCTGTAGCATTTAGCACTGTTGATCATCCATCCCCCTGGATGTTTTCATGGCACTGTTCTCTTCTATTCTCTCATTCTCTACCACTACCACCTCTCTGACCACTCTCCAGTTGCCTTTGCTACATCCTCATCTGTGCCACATCTTCTAACTGTAGTTAAGCCCAAAGACTCTATTCTAGGCTATTTTCATTTCTCTCCCAACACTTGCTCTGGGTAATTTCATCAGTTTCCATGGTTCAAATCTATCACCCTAGTCTTATCATGAGTTCCAGTTTCACATATCAAAACAACTATTGAGCATCTCCAACTGGCTATCTCATAGGCATCACAAACTCAACATTACCAAAATATAACTCATTGTCTTTCCCCCAAATCCACCTCTCTTCCAAACTGCTGTTTCTGCTGAGGGTACCACCATCTATTCCCATCACCCGGGTTCAAACACTTGAAATAATCATGAAATTTTCACTCTCACTGTCACCTACCTAACTTATTTATTCAATCAGTTGTCAAGTTTTGTAAATTCTATCCTTACAACATCTCTTGCATCTATTCCCTTCCTTCCATTTATATAGCCACCACTCTTCTTTAGACATTCCTCACATCCCACCTTGACTATAGTAATGGTCTCCTAATTGGTTTCCCAGCTTTCAGTCTTTCTTCTCTCTACCCCAACTTCTATACAACTCTCAAATTTATATCCCTAAAGCATCCCTGAGTGACCATGTCACTCCCCTTCTTAAGAAGCTTTTGTGTATCCCTATTGCCTCTACAATATCCTTCTTAACCTACCTCTACAAACTGATTTCACATTACTGCCACTCTATATTCCAGCCAGATTTGGCTATTGGAGCTCTCAAGGACAGCATGCCATCTCCCACTATGTGTTTGGAAAGCTCTACCTCATCACCTTTGTCCCTTGGGATCCCTACTTCATTTTAAAGCTAAGCTTTAATACTGTCTTCTATATACTGCTTTTCCTGCCTCCCTCCCCTAGATTTTAGTGCTCCTTTCCTGCCCCTCCCATTATTTTATAACAAGACCATAAGATCATAAATCTAGAGATAGAATTTATATGCACATATGCATATGTATATATATGGGCATGAATATACATGTGCATAAATACACATGTATATTATTTACTTATCTTTGTGTCTGTTGTTTTCCTTTCAATAGAAGTTTTTTAAAGGTAAACTTCAATTTTTTTCTTTGCATCCTTAGCACCTGGGACAGGGCCTGGCACATATTAGGAGCTTAATAAATGCTTGTTACATTAGCTTGTTGGGTATACAAGCTACTTCAGCAGAAAACAAAAGGGATTTTACTAGTGATGAACAATTCTGAGGAAAATAAAGATAACATGGGTGTAGATATTATTTTTCCAATGGTCCCACCATCTTTCTTGAAACAGTGTATTGTATGGGAGAGAGCACTGGACTGTGTGACTTTGGGTAATTCATTTAAATTCTCCAAGCTTCAATTTCCTTACCTATAAAATAATGGAGCTGTACTTTCTGATATTTCAAATCCTTTCCAGCTTTAACATTATATGATTCTAATCTCTCAGGGAACCACAGAATTTATATTTAATTTACCTTTCTCTAGCATTTTGGGGAGTAGAACTAAGGCATTCCGGAGTTTATGTTATGTGTATCTAGCTCACTAGAGACAGCTTAAAGAATTGGGATTATTTTAACTGTTGTTATTTCATGACACATCATGGAAGCAGAATGACAAACTCTTTCTATTCTGTACGCAGTATGTTAGTGCATCTGGAATGAAAAGATAAGAGCTTGATTTCTTTGATGATAGCAAAGGAACATCTGATTCAGTTGCCCAGGAAATCAGAGATTGCCTTGCCAGAGGTAGCCTGGCTATTTGCTTTTGTTATCAGTATATTCAGCCAGTAACACTCTTGCCTATTCTGGATTCAAGTTGTCAAAGCTTAAAGAACAAGCTTTTCCCAGTTTAATCACTTGGAAACATTGTGTAGTTCATGATGCAGCCAGATTTTAAGCGAAAACTTTGAGACACTTTTAAAATGTCTCCTCGTTCAGCCAGAAATGAAAGCTCTAAAATTATTGATGTCTATGCCAGGCAACATGTACCTTCCAGGTAAACGGATTATCTTCTGACCCGGCTGTTAATAGGCCTGAGAGAAAAAAGGCCTCCTCTTGGGTTGTGATTTCCCAGCCATGAAGACTTAGAGTGAGATGGATACATGGAAATGATTTGCCATTCACTAAGATATGTTTCTAAAACTGAGAATCATCCAGAAAGGGTGTCTTTATTTTAATAGCTCTTCTCTTTCCAGAGTTTTTGTCTTAGACTATGACTGAAGTTTAAAGCCTTTGCCAGTTGGTTTCCAAGATTGTTTAACTGTGCATGGTTTTCAGAGAACACTGGCAACAGAGCCTCTCATCTGACCCCCACATCAGCCATGAACAAGGTTTTTGTCGTTCAGTCTTTTCAGTCGTGTCTGACTCTTCATGACTCCACTAGGGACTTTCTTGGCAAAGATATTGCAGTGGTTTGCCATTTCCTTCTGCAGCTCATTTTACAGATGAGGAAACTGAGGTAAACAAGGTTAAATGGCTTGCCTAGGGTCACACAGCTATTAAGTATCTAAAGCCAGATTTGAACTTAGGAAGATGAGTTCTCCTGAAGCCAGGCCTGGCACTCTACTGAACCACCTAGCTGCCCATATGGCTATGGTACAATGGAAAAACAACAACAATAACAAAACTGCCTGTGGAGTCCAAGGACCTGGGATTTACATCTCACTCTCTGATTTGGGCAAATCATTTAATTTCTTGGGGCCTCTGTTTCCCAATCTATAAAATGAGAGTGAGTAGACTAGACAGTCTTTATGGTTTCTTCCAGTTCTAGAGCTATGCCCCTAAGATCCCATGACATCAATCATGGTTATCCCAGGACTTAAGGAAAATGAAAAGTAACTTCTGCAGATTGTTGCACCACCAACTGCTATTATCTACTGTAGGAGCCTTGTTGAATGAAACAAAAATGGCTTGGTGGGTAATGCTGTGCACATGGAATAAGCCAGCAGCTCCTAAGACTGTTCATCCTCCCTTTCTTGGGTCTGCGATTATTAATGGTGATACTTCTTACTTCTCCATCCTTACACATGACAGCTTATCCAGACTTTCTCATCCTTTGTGATTCATGGTCATGTCTTCCCACATATCTGCCATAAAGTATCTAACCAAGGCATTGAAAACCTTCCCTTGCATCTTTTAACATTTCATGAATACCTCAAGGCAATCAACCTGTCCAACTGTTATTCTTTACTCTTGCAAAAGATCAACCTGCCCTCCTTTCTCCATCATATGCTCCTTTGGTAATATCTTCTATGCTAACATT